AAATTAAAAAATATAGACTACTAGCTTTCCCACGCGACTCCGTCTGAGTGGAATTAAGAAAAAAGGAAAGTGAGTTGATTATGTGTTCTTCCAGACTATCGTCTACATCTATACCAGATTTCAATGAAATCCGTTCAACAGTTTAGGCTACAAAATCTAACAAACATCCATCCATCCATCTAAACTTTCACATTTATAATATTGGTATGGTGAAAGAATTTTTAAGATCGGCCCAGTAATTTTTTTAGTTATTCCAATATATAAAAAAAAAAAACTTTCCTCTTTGTAACATTACGAGTAGTATTAATTCCGAGTTTTTATCCGCATCAAAATATTAAATTACTTTTTTTATGGTTCACTAACTTTCGACTGCGACTCGGTCCGCGTAGATTTAAAATATAATTACAGTAAGTGTATGAGTTCTTCCAGACCATGCTCTACATCAGTGCTAAATTTCATGCAGATCCGTTCAGCCGTTTAGGCTACAAACTTTAAGAAATAACCATTTAAACTTTCGCGTTTATAATAATCGTAATTTTCAATTGCAAATGTCAAAATTCATTTACACAAATGTTAACGAAGACCTTTACCTTTATAGCTTTACTAGCTGTTGCCCGCGACTTCGTCCGCGTGGTATTAGAAAACATACGAACTATATAAATTACAAATAGCTACGTATCCCTCGGGAACCAGACATTTCTCGGGGATAAACCTTATCCCATGTGTACACCATACTTTGTTTTATATCTGTGCCAAATTTCAATAAGATATGTTGAACCGTTGCAGAATGATCGAGTAAACATTAAAAAACTAAATTAATGAATCCCACGGGAACCGTAATTATTCCCTGTATAAAAAGTAACCTATGTGTTCTTCCCGACTATGCTCTAAACCTGTGCCAAATTTCATGGAGATCCGTTCAGCCGTTTAGGCTACAAACGCTAACAAACATCCATCTAAACTTTCGCATTTATAATATTAGTAAGATGCTAACAATCTTTTGTGATGCTTGGCTTGTAGTTTTTGTCCCTTAAGCATCAGGGTTTTTTCCATTGGTTTTTGCGGCCGTGAATCGTGTTGGTGTGAAACTTAATTGTGAATGTTGTCTCCCAGTGCTGAGTGTCATCGTTCTCCATCATGTCGACTCATATTCTTGTCGCACGGTCGCCAAACTTCTCCAACAACCGCTAGAGGGCGATACCGATGTCACAGAATATACCCAACTGAAGCAACGCGACCGAGATATCACCAGCATAATAAAACAATTATTAGACAGTTCATCAGAAATAAACAGCGAACATCATAAAGGCCTCGCAAAGTTAACAATAGAACCATATAACAAAAATAAAAATAAAACTGCATGGTCAGGAAAAGATCCATTGCATTGGTTTGATAATAATAAAAAAACAGTCGCACCGCTGGCAATAATTGTGACTAACCTGCCAGAAATCACTAAAATAGAAGACAGAGATAAATATAAAGAAAGCAAATATTTTATACAGAATACAGATGAAGTGATATCTAATGATTCTAACCAAGAGGTAAGAGGTAATTCAAAAGAAACATTCGATAGAGATATGCATCCAAACGCGAAACATAATTTAACAGAAGATCTAAATAATAATGAATTAATTGAGAACAGTGATATAGTAGATCTCGACTTTTCCGGTGAAAGTATGAATATATCTAATTATTTAAATAAACAAAATAATTCAGCGAATACTGATATCGCTTGGGAAAGTCAAGATTTTGATGAGTTGGTAAATAAAGATGGATCTAACGAAAAGATATACAAATCTATAGAAATTGAAGATAAAACAAATGATTTTAAGTCAGACAATAAGGAGACAATTGACACATTTGAAGATAAATTAGTAGACAATACATTAAAGGTAGATTTTCCAGACAACACTATAAACAAACAAGAAGATAAAACAGTAAATGAAGACCAAGAAAATTTAATCAATCTCTTATTAGACAATGATTTGGATATTGTGGAATATCATAATAATGACGTAACGAATGATCATCCTTTAAATGGTTCTAAAATTAATTTGAAATTTGGACATTCCACCGACGACAGTAAAATAAAAACTTATAAAGGTGACGAACGTAAATGTAGGGATCATCACGGACACAAAACTCCAATATATAATTTATCTTTTTTATTCAATAGATAAATCTGTAAAATTCACACAATCTAGATAATATCCATTTTAATCATATTGTAAAGCAAATAAAAACATCACTACGCGATAAGTGTTGTAAAACAATAAATAAAAATACATCAAAGCATACAAACGTGTTTATCTTGAAAGCAATTTTCATCCTTGTCTATACATATGAATTAACTAGCTATTCCCATGCGGCTTCATCCGCATGAAATTATGAAAATTTTGTGTTATTGTTTACATTTGTCAAATTATCAATAGCAAATGTCAAACTGACTTGACATAAACCTCGGCAATCTTGCTTTAATGTTGGCAGCAACTTATGGTCTCTTTCCCGCATTAGGGATTTTATCCAAAATATTTACCTTTTAACTTTAATGGCGTGAAAATATATAGCCTAAAGCGTGACGTTAGTGTAAGGCTTTTATTAAAAAAAAGAATTATTCAAAAACATGTTGTAATTGCTGACATCTTAGGCATCAAAGAAGAGAGTGTTTACGCTTTATTGTAACAGTATAGATTATTCTGTTTGTACGAGTATATCGAAAAAAAAATCATTTTACATACAAATTTTGTATCTGATATTTTTGTTTCTGAGCAGACAAAATCGCAGGCGACCGCTCGTTTTTAACTACATTGGAATCATACTTATTTCTTAAAAAAAACAGTCGAGGTCGTTAATTTCCTACCCATTGGTGAGATATAATTCCATGCTTACATTACGATTAAATATTTGAACAGCGAATTTAATTCTTCGACTGTAATGTTATATGGTAAACTGGTAGAGCGTGTTATTTGGTACAATGGCGGACAGCGTGCCGACTGTCACGCGGTACACTCGCGCTCGAAATCGTTACAATGGTACGCGCGTCACTTTGCTATAGACGCGCACAAAAGTGTTACACAATACACTGAGTGACATCAATAAATCAATAAGATGCGTCCACACTACGAGTAGAGAGATTATGTCAACACGCGTAAATTAATTTTATAGCACTAGTTGTTTCCCGTGAATCCGTCTGTGCATAATAAAAAGTAGTCTATATATGTTTCCACACTTTTACAACTGTGGTAAAATGTATTTATGTTATTAGTAAGAAGTAAGAATTCCGTGCTATTTCATACTTGTGGTAATAAAAAACCTAATAATCCGTTTTAGAGTTACTTGCTAACAGCCAAACATTTTTTTTATGTATTTATTAAGATAAATAAAATGACAGTGTCTATGTATAGATTTTTTTTCATTATTTGTCTGTTTGTCCGCAAGTTCTAATTAAGTCCCTTTCTCTTTACCTCCCTTTTCTTATAAGGAGAGGATGGGAAGGCGAAGTGGATTTGACGGTGGAGAAGATGCATAGGAAGGGGAAATATCCTCTTTATATTATTCTTTATGTGCGTCTCCTCCTCCGTCGGATAAGGGTAGGCAGCGCATCTGCAATTGCGGCTGTCTATGGGCAGTCGCTTCGCCATTTTAGCGGATTCAGGTGGCCGCTTGCTCGTTTGCCACCTTATGTTATAAAAAAAAAGTTCGCGATTGCTTCGGGTTAATCTCCTACACGGCTTTATTGATTTAAAGGGAATTTTAAGGGTAACTGATGCACGGTTATCCAATTTTCAAATATAAGGCTCTGTTAAAGTTTATATCGGATGATGGGATTCAAAACAAGTTCATAGAATGTTCGTTTTAATTATTTATCGGCCACTACGGTGTGGTAACACCTTTACAATTGAAAACTTTCTTAGCTTATAATCTCGGATTGCCTTCATCTTCGTCAGTTTGCAGGAGACCGATGTTCAGGTCGACAAACTATTTTCTATCTCTGATCTAAAAATCTTTAAGGTGAGTTTTAACTATCATTATAAAAAAAACTAACTAAAATAGTTTTTTTAGCAAATCCATTTGAATTTCATTTGGTCACAAAATTAATATAATCTAGTAATACATATAACTAGCTTTCACCCGTCTTCGTCTTCGTGGAAGAAAATAAAGTGGCGTATGTGTTCTTCCAGATTATCCTCTACATCTATACCAAATTTGATCGAAATCGGTTCAGCCGTTTGGGCTATAAACTCTAACATCCATCCATCCATCTAAACTTTCACATTTATAATATTAGTACGATTAATTAGATAGTACAGTTGTTATTAATTCCTCGGGTGTAAATACATACAAACCCTTACGAAACTGTGTCAGCTAAAAAAAAATATTAAAAAACAACAATTTATTCTGTCGGCAAATTTTTCCGAATGCATAATGAAAATTTGATGAATACACAAAGTATGCAAAACACGATCCGCGGTAACACTTTCACACCAGTACAGTACAAAGTAGCAGTACACAGTACTAAACACTCGCCGACATAGAAGACAATCCATTTGATAGTCGCCATCGCATACATCAGACAGTCGTCAAATGAAAGTAAATCTTCATTATTATTATTTATTAAAGGTGATTTCCTCCCTTTCCACTCATTGTTTAAGGAAATCAAAACAAAGGGAAGTTCGTATTGAGAGACATATTCTTTTACTGTACGTCCCCTATTCGGCTGATTGAAGGTTAGGCAACGCAATTACAAATCTATGGGTGGATCGCTATACGACGTTTCTACTTTCAACCACCATCTTCCTTCTCCTACTTCCGTAGTGGCGCAACGGGTTTTTGTCCTCCACATAACTCTGTTATCCGTCATCTCAGACACTCCCTTCTTGATTATGTCACCTTTCACGCAATCCTTCTCTTTATACCTCTACCGGTGTAATACACTCATAACTAACGTTTTTCTTCCAATTTGCAATAAAAAAAAATCAAACAAAAAAATGGGACCCACCTGCAAGCATTACCTTTCGGATAAAAAAAGAATTATCAAAATCGGTCCACTAGCGGCGGAGTTATGCCGTAACACACATAAAAAAAAAACATACAGAGGAATTGAGTACCTCCTTCTTTTGGGAAGTTGGTTAATAATTCCCACCGCGTCTTCCATGAAATCATAGGTAATGTGCGTGAAAATAAAAGTACTGTACTATGTACTGCCATATCTTACTGCACTCGTGTGAAAGTCCCGAGGGGATTGCGATGTCGGTTGTAATTAATGACATAGCTCGGCCGCGGATAGTTTTTTTTACGTACAGCCATGTTTTTAATTTAATTCACATAACCTTTGGTCCCTGAATACAACCGCGCGGAATAAAAGAAAGTAAGTATAGACTCTGTTCTCCATCTGTGCCAAAATTCATGGAGGTTTACCTTACAATCATCCATCCATCTAAACTTTCGCATTTATAACGTTAGTAAGATTCTAACTTGTACTAGATTGCGAAAGTATTCTTAATTCTTTCGTTCTGTTTTAATGGATTTCTTCCCTTTTCTTGTTTGTGACAATGTATTGTAGAAACAATGTCATTGTTCGGAGCAACACGTCGCTGCGTCGCACGGTCTACTTGTGTCACGAAAACAACGCACATCTTGCACACATGCAAAAAGAGAACGTTCTAGAACGACTTTTTGTCGGTATCTAAGTTAGTGGGATAATCACAAATTATTATTCTTCAAGACAATACAATTAATAGATTTTTTAATCGCTGTTACATTCTGTAAAGCGTTTTTAACGAGCTGTTGCTCGCGACTTCATCTGCGCAGTATTAAAAAAATGCGACTTATATATAAACGAGCTGTTGTATTAAAAAGCATTCGAACTATATAAATATAAAAGCTACGTATCCCTCGGGAACCGGACATTTCTCGGGGATGAAGCTTATCCCATGTGTACTCC